AGGTCAATAGCAGTCGTAAGACACTGCCAATTGCAGATGCCCTCTGATTTCAGAGCTATTAAAATGTATATGATATAATGCTATGATATAATGTACTGGCAGAGAGGAGCATGACTGTCTAAGAAGTGAAGGAGACATCAAGGGAAGTTTTGCAGAGGAAAAAATATTAGGGCAAAGCCTTGGTGAAGGAGGCAAAAGGGCGGAAAGAGCCCGCAGACAGAGCCCTGAAAGTGCAAAGGCACAGATAGATGTGATGGAGAACACCACAGTATGGCTGCTGTGCAGGATGCAGGTGATGGGGTAGTGCAAGATGAGGGGCAGGAAAACCAGGCCAGGCCAGACCTTCAGGGAGCCTTGTAAGGGGGTGGAGTGGGGGGCTCATTGAAGAATGTAAAGCAGAGTATTTCTGTAATGATTTTGTTAGAAGATTGCTGTGGAGTCAGTGGAGGATGGATTGGAGGGAAAGACACTAGCGGGTGCAGGGAGGCCATGAGGAAAGCCATTGTAAAGATCTAAGCAAATAAAGGATGACGACCCAGAGCAGAACAGGATGGGGTGGAATGAAGAAAAATGATCCAAGAAATACAAAGGCGATTGACTTGACAGGCTAGCCAATCAACCCCGAAGGATGGGCAAGGCTGCCTGCTTTACTGCACTATGTGAAGTGTAGATTACAATGTGCACAGAGCCCCTTTAAGCTGTGCAATTTGGAGCTCTGGAGATGAAGGTGGGCAGAGTCACAGATAATTAGCACTTATCTGTGCTCCATTTCGATCACCTCAGTAGCTTCCCGTTGTCTACCGAACAAAATCCAAGCTCCTCAGCAGGCAAACAAGGCTGTTCATGTTCAGGCAATTTGCCCCCTTGCAGCCTCACCTCCTGTTATCCCTAAATCATTCCATTATAGCCACCTTGGTGCAGTGTACTTTTCCATGCTTCTGTGCCCGGGCATCTGCTGCTCCTTCTGCCTGGTGTCCCCTTTCCTCTAGTAAAGCCCAAAGTCCTCCTCCTTCTTCAAGCCTCCTCTGAGGAAAGAACTACATGAGCACCACACTGCCGGAGACAGAATTAGGCACCTCTGTGCCCGCAGGCACATGGTATTTACCATGACGATGAAGTCACACTGGTCTCCTATACTAGTGCCTGAGCCCTGTGTCTTCTTCCTTTTTGTAGTCACTCCAGTGTAGAGCAGATTTGGGCACAGTAGATGCTCAATATATGTTGTAAAGTAATTTTACCTACCTGTTAAAACCAAAAGCAAATGGAGACCAGCCTTGAAGTTTCCCTGAGCAGATAGAATCAGTTTATTAATTTAGCTTAATTACCAATTACTGTGAAAAGGGAGCTGCTTTCTCACTATATAAACACCATACTACGAGTACTCCTGGTTTGCAAACTGTCTTTTTGGTGTGTGCACAATAATTTTTTTTATCAAGTACTACTTCAGTGATTCATTGGTTTTACTTTGGCTATTTTTGAATCTTTGACAAAGATTCAAAATGGATGGTTACAAAAGACTGGAACCCACACTGTGACTCTGAAGATGTTTTGACTCATTTTTTTTACCCCAAATTTTAATTTTGCAAAAATTTCACACTTACAGAGGAGTTGCAATAGACAAGGTGTCCTCAGATACTCTTCACCTAGTCACTGGTTGTCAATATTTTGTCTCACTTGCTTTATCTGTATTTTTCCCTCTGAACTAGTTAATTGCCGACATCATGACACTTTACCTATAAATATTTCAGCATGTGTCTCCAAAGAACTAGAATGCTCAAAAACTTTAACATTCACACAACATTATCCAACATATATGCAGTCTGAAATGCAATTTAAATTCCCCCAATTATGTCATTTTAAACTGTTTGCTTTGGATCCAGAGGCTAATTTAGGATCATACATCACATTTATTGTAGTTGCTACATCTCTAGTCTTTTGACATTCATGAAATGTTTCTTTTTGAAGAATCTAGGCTAGATCCATTTTGCAGACTTTCCCTCAATTTGGACTTTTCTGATTTTTTTCATGATTAGATTCAGGTTAAGCATTTTTTTTTTTGAGGAATAGTATATAGGGGATAGTGTATCTGTGTTAATTTGTATTATTATTGGTGGTGCTGAGTTTGATCATTTGGTTAAGGTGGTCAGTCACCAACCAGATTTCTCCCTTGTAAAGATAACTTTTCCCTTTTGTTGTTAATATCTGTGTGTGTGTGTATGAAAGACAGAGAGAGAGAGAGAGGACATCATACTGCATGAACATCCTCTTCCCCAACAATCTTTTACTCATTTAGTTTTCTTTTACCAATTTTTTTATTGTGGTAAAAATAACAAAATTTACCATTTTAAACATTAAGTGTACAGTTCAGTGGTATTAAATGCATTCATAATGTTGAGCTATTATTGTCACTGTCCAAATCCAGAGCACTTTTCATCTTGTAAAACTGCAACTCTATACCCATTAAACAATAACTCCCCATTTCCCCCAGCTCCTTGCAACCACCATTCTACTTTCTGTCTCTTTGATTTTGACTATTCTAAATACTTCATATAAGTGGAATCATGCAGTATTTGTCTTTTTGTTACTCTCTTATTTAACTTAACATAATGTTTATATGCTAAGTTCATATAGCATAATGTGAAACTCAAGGTTCATCTATATTTTAGCATGTCAGGATTTCCTTCCTTTCTAAGGATGAATAATATTTCACTGTGTGTATATATACCACATTTTACTTATTCATTCATCTATCGATCGACACTTTGGTTGCTTCCACTTTTCAGCAACTGTGAATAATGTTCTTACGATCACAGGTGTACAAATATCTCTTTGAGACCTTTGGCTCAGCTTTTCTAAGGTAAATATTTTCATAATAATTATATTAATTCTGAAGATTTTTGTGAAATTACTTTTGGAGTAAATTCTTTTAGGCTAATTTAATTCTTTTTTTTTCTTTTTTTAAAGATTTTTATTGGGGAATTGGGAACAGTGCTAGGGAATTGGGGGAAAGGGAACAGACAAGTTGCTGTCATTTTTGTTCTTCAATCTAGTTGTGGAGGACGTTGCTTCACTGGCCCAAGTTGGCACCATCATTGCGCTCTTCCTGGGCGAGGCAGATCAGTCGC